ATCAAATAGATAGACAGGCGGACAGATGAGCGAATAAACAGATAGACAATCAGACGGTCGAACCGATGAACTTGCTTAAATCGCTTTACAATTTGATGTTGATCAAGAATATATATATATATATGCTTTGGAGAGTCTCTGAAGCTTTCTTCCCTGTCGTTGCAAAACTTTTTGACAAAATGAATATACCGCTCAAATGTTTCGATGATGGATATAAAAGAACAATAACCGAACAACCATAAAACAATGCATTTTTGTAAATACACTGAGTGATGTGTAAATATAATAATAAAATAATTCTTGGGGGTTAGAGTATGCCGTCTGTGTCTACACTCAAATCTTAGCGCTCGTAAACTTCCATGTAAAAGTAAACAGTTAAAAGAAAAAAAAAAAAAAAAAAGAAAAAGAAAACGCATAAATAATTTTTACTAACATTTTAATAAACAAATTACAAAAACTGTAAGAAAAAATGCAAAATAAAAGAGAAATTGAAAAATTGCAAAAAAACAAAAACAAAACTTTGCACTTTTGTACTTGTTTCAAGTAACTTGGAACGCGTTTGTATGCGCTTACGAGCTAGTTAATGCTGGCGTTCTTGTTTCTTTAGATTTTTGTATAAGTATTTTTGTTATAAAACTGTAAGTAGTACTGGCAGTAGCAATACTAGTGCTAGTAGTACTAGTAGCAGTAGCAGTAGCATTAAGTAGTAGGAGCGTTGGGTAGCTCGTGCCACTTGTGTAATTATTGTAATTTTGTTTCTTTTCCTTTTTGTGTCTATGTCTATTTTCATTTCTTATTTCTCTTTTTATTTAGTTGGACTCTTATAAGCAGTACGCTCGTCGCTAAGTGTGCGTTGTGAGTTGTTCTTTCAATTTTTGTTGGTAAACTTTTTTTTATGCTTTCATTTGTTTTGTTCTTTTATTTATTTTTAAAATTATTTGTATGTTTTACTGTAATGTTAATGTTGTTATGTTGTTATCCAAGCTGTTTGTAAAAAGACTTTGTTATTGCCTTTGCTTTGATTTTTCTCCTCACTCTTTTAAAAGGATTGTTGTACAATTTTGTTTACGACTGCATAACTAAATAAATGAGCGGCAAAAAGTTTAACTTGGCGGATGCCTTTCATGTTTTTTTCTTCTCCCTTTTCCATCTTCTCCCTTTTACAGAACAAATAAACACATTGTACCCAAGCCTAAGCAAACTCAAGAGATCCGTTTGTCGCTTTTCTTTCACTCGTGTGGTCGAAAAGATCTAAACGACGTTGTTCTTTAAATATTTAAAAGCAACTTGTAATTATTGCGCCATCGAAACTATATGTTCATATATGTATATATCTTCTTACTTTTCAGACTTTCTTGTTCTTTTCTGCAAAGTCAAAGTAATGCATTAAATTAATGTAGCCGGCCAGAGCACTGGCGGAGACTGCGTTCTTAGCGGCCTAAATTAAATATTCAGCCAGGACGGACTCGATTATATAACTAGTCAAAGTAAACGAGACTAACTGAATTAGTCAAAGACTGACAAAGCCAGCTAAGATGGGCTAAATTAACCAGTCAGCGCTAGATTAACATGGATTTATATAAGCGGCGAAGCGAAAACTAGATTGATTCAGTACTAACTTGTGTAGAGTAAACCAACGCAAACAGTCAGGTCGGATTAAACGAATCTAGCCTGGTGTGACAGATTAGAGCACTCACTCAAGCAAGTAGACAAGTCTACGTTAAGACTGATTAGACTGAATAGCGACGGACTGACTAACTAATTTAGCCAGGGTTAGAGCAGAGTAGTTACCCATGGAGAAGTAGATTAAACTCACATACCTTGTAAATGCCATAAGTTTTCTAATATTCGAAGATCAGTTTTCAGAGCATCTTATCCTATGAACGCTTTAAGAATACCTCACTAGAAAAGTCAGCAAAGACAGAATAGACTAACTCGAACATGTAGAGAAGACTAGGCTAACCCAGCCAACTATGGCAGGCTAAACTAATTTAGACACCTATAGCAAATTAGATTAATTCCATGAGACAGAGTGGACCCAACTATTCAGTCATCCGGCGATCGCTAAACAAGCCTCATCTGTATAAACAGATTAGACTAACCAAGGCGGAAAAAACTAACAGTCAGCCAAAATGGTCGAGATTAATTCAACCAGAAGGGACAGACTAGACTAACAGAGCCAAATATTAAAAACTAACCCAAGCAGCGTAGACTAGACTAAGTCGAACAAACCGAGTAAGTTATACTAACTCAACAAGACTAAGGATGATAGATCAATCCTACCGGTCAGGATAGGCCGGACTTATCCGTCCTGTTATAACAGATTATACAAATCCGGTTAATCGAAGTTAACTTAACTAACTAGGCAGCCCCATCGGATTACCCTAACCCAACTGGTGAAGATAGATCACGCTAACTTAGCCATTCGACATAGACCAGGCTAACCCAGCTAGCCAAGGCGAACTAAACTAACCAGCCAATGCAAATTCGATTGCTATGCAATCTGAACTAGATCGGACCAGCAAACTCAAGTGGTATAAACAAGTCAGCCGCTAACCAGTATAATACACTAAAGTAAATCTTTTTGTTTGGGAAATAAATTATTCAAACACTTGAAAACAGATTTTGAAAAATTTTTACTACTCTTTTTCTTTTTATAGTACATATTTGTTTCAATAATTTTTATTAATCAAAATTTTGCAATATATCGTTACGATGCCGGTCTAGCTTGATACTCGCTTGCAAGTTTCATTAACTCAGTTTGCTGGCTTACTATGTCTTTAATGCTAGTTATGTTCAACGCAAAGTGACGTGACAACGCTATAATACTTTTACAATTTTCTTTTATCTTCACATCCGTCCGTGATCCGCGTCGTCGATCGTATGGAGATCCGCGTCGATTGTAGGGGTGACTACGCCGATTTTCACGTCTACTATGATAATTTCTTTCGATGTAATCATTGTTAAAATTCAAGTGTCCCCTACTTGCACCATCTGCTGGCGATTCATTCTCATCGTCACCCGTAGAACTCTCTAATAGCGAACGCGGTTATTATTATGGAATGCACAGTTGAAAATTTATTAGAGCAATTTTAAAATACCGTTGCCATCAGAAGAGCGACTTGCCGCATCCGCCGGTGATGACCTTGGTCTTGGTCCAGGGGGACACAGAAGTTGCAAAACAACGCCGTCGACAACTGAATGCAGAAAGTTCCATATCTCATCATCGATGTCAAGGTCCACCATCCTTAATTTGTATTAAAATTGGAAATAAAAACAAAACTTAAAAAAAAAAAGCCAAATTTTTCTTTACACAAATAGTTTCTTTAAAAATTCTAGCGTAATTATATAACAAACTCTAAAAACATTTCAAATTTTTAATCAATAAATCAAAATTGTACAAAAATAAAAAAAAATGGGAAAAATAAGCTACAATTTCTAAAAATTTTCACTCAAAATTTTACTAAATACGAATAAGTACGCTACAAATAGGCAAGGCCGACAATTAGATACTACCTGCTATACTGCGTAGGATACTCAAACATCAAGGTGCTGTAAATTTACTAGCCTTACCCATTAGAACTCTCCGATTAGAACCCTTACATGGATTGATATCTAAAAAATAGACCTAAGTGGTCCAAACTCGATAAAGTCACTTTGTATGGCAAGTTATTATTATGGGCGAATTTTCATCAAGAAGTATTAAACCCTTTTTCCTATACAAAGTTTCGGTTTCCTTAGGGGCGATTATATGGCAAGTGGTTCAAAATATTATGCATTCGATCCATAGTTTTCACCGTCAATATAGAATGCCGAAAAAGTATTACTGAGCGATTATCGTCACGGTAAAGGTTTGTTGTGCGGATGTACATAATACCTAGAAACGCTTAAGAGAGACCCATCTTTTATAACACCGGCCCTTTCAGATTTATTTTTTAAATTATTTTCTGGAAAATAAGAAATAATTCTCAAACGATCTAAACTTGCCTGTCCATCTGTCCGCATGTCCGTCTGCTCATTTATTTTTATGTTCAGCCTACAGGTCGTATTTTTTGGGATATCTTAACGAACACACCGATGTTCTTCGATCCAAGGACGAACGCTATTGAAAATGGTGCGGACCACTCCTCAAATAACGTCTCACTCAGAATGTTCGCTATCGTTAAAAGAGGCAAGAGCGTCAAAGTCGGGCAAAGCCTACCTTTAGATACCATACACCACCTCGTCTCGTGCAGTTATTCAATCCTTTCTTTAATAATACATCCAAACTCACACATTTTCGGCCACTACCCCTATAGTATCCCATTCTGAAAAGTCGTTACAAGAATATTTGTAAGGCGATGTAGGCTTTTAAATGAATATAAATAGTTTGTCTTAGATCTGTAATAACAGAAAGTATGTATATATATATATCTTCAGTACGTGATAGGAAAATAAGAAGAAAAACCAATAGTAACCAGCACTGTCAAGTGACAAGGTCAACTTTCATTGAAATAATGAATCACGTGTTCTTCTTGTTCTTCTTCTGTGAGTCAGCAAATCAAAAACAGATGATTTGCTGAGCTGAGCAAAAAAAAAGGTTTAATAAATCATTTGCTTTTGATTTTTTCAATTTTGAAAAGAGGAAGAAAAAGAACAAAAGGTTGAAGTAATTCGCAAATCGAAAAGAAGAAGAAAAAGAACAAAAGTTTGAAGTAATCGCAAATCGTGAGAATACCCGGAACTAAAAGGGAAGTAATACTAATATGTGAAGGCATTCAAAAATGTAACGGAATATTCTATAAATTCCCGATTGGAAGCGTCCTTATAACATTAACTTTTCTTTATTGATAGAACTTGCTAAAATTGGATAAGGAAACGAAAGCTTTCTGTAATGAATGCCTGCTGCATAGACATACGATCAACTATTATTATTATTATTGTTAGTGCATTATAGTGCAGTTAGCTTCGTCAAGACTAAGTGAAAGTATTACAATAAATATTTTAAAATTTCAATAAAATCATGAATGATGTAGATCAGTTAATGGAACATATTTAACGCCCATTAATATGGTTTCTTTAATTGTTCCATCGTGCTTTTTGTCATACTGTCTCATCTGTTGGTCTCCGTCTTCGGGGCCAACAGGTATAATCATGCGTCCGCCCTTTGCCAATTGATCAAGTAATGGTTGCGGTGTTACAGCAGCAGCAGCACCTACGTGTATAGCAGTATAAGGCGCAAATTGTGGATATCCTTTGCGACCGTCGCCCTCAACAATAATTAAATTTCCGGATTTTAACATCTCTGCATCGTCAGCGTCGAGATTGCGCTTACTAAGTGCGACCAAAGCTGGATTATGTTCTATACCAACTACTTTTGTTTTGTCACTCTTCCGTTGAGCTTGGATATAACGCCAAAAGCAAGCAGTTAGATAACCCGATCCTGAACCAATATCCAAAACATGACTACCGGGTATCATGCGGTTCCGCAAATATTCCATTGCAAAGGCATGCATGTAAGGTGCACTAATTGTGGCACCGTAACCAATACTTTGAGGCGCGTTCACATATGGATTGTAAGGGGCATAAAATCGACGATCTGTATTAACCATAGCGATGGCGACCGCTTGCGTGCGGATTATTTCGTAATCTTTCAATCGCTGTATAAGCTCAACATTGTTCGTTATTGCTGGGAGTAGAGACATCTTCTCTTACGACACTTAATTAATTTCGTTTCAAAAAGTTGCAATAAATTTTTTTTCTCTTATGAAAAATTAAAACTAGGAATTTTTTATTATCCAACTTGAAAGAAAAAATTTAATTTACTTTCATTGGAATGATAAAGAATCGACATAAAAACGATGAAAGAAAAAAATGATTTTCAATTTTTGCATGAAATTTTTGAAATATTTTTTTATTCTTACAAAAATTTTGTTTATAAATTGATTTAATTAAATTAAATTACTCAAATGCTTCCAAGTTTTATGATGTCGAGACAACAAGATTTCCATTTAATGATTTTGATATCTTAATGTGTCGCCGCTTAAAAATTCTGATGTTTTTCAAATCGAATAAAGTTTTTCGTAAGAATGTTTTTAGTCTTTTCAAGCCTTTATGGATGCGATTATTATTAGCATTGTTATTACAATGTCTGCTCGATTCAATTGCCTTAAGGCCATTTAAAGCTTTTGAATTCGAATTAGATAATTGTGGAAATGCCGGGTCCACGGCTCCGCTTTCAGTCATCAAATGTGATGAATTATGAAAACTTTGAATTTGATTCAATTCGACTGGACGCTGATGAACGTTGCAATGATTATGATGACTGAATACATTTAACAGACCATTCAGTGAGTTGAACAACTCATCATTTTCGTCCGTATATAATATTAAGAAATCGCCATTGTCATCGTTAAATTCAATTTGCTCATTGATAGTTGTTAAGGTTGATCGACTAACATCGCTGCGTTCTTCATATTCTAAATTCTCAAATTCAAAATTCATTCGATGCATTATCTGATGCTCTGTCATTTCATAATTGCTTTCCAATTCTTCTAAAACGATTGGAATATCTTCGGTGAAATTTTCGATAACGCCGCTGCTTTGCACTTTGTAATTCGGATTACACATGTTTAATTTTATGCAAATTAAAGATAAATGAAAAATGGAACAATGTAAATAAATTCAAATTAAAAATTTTTTAGATGTATACAAATTTAAAAAACAATTTTCATAATCTTTAAGAAAAACCTAAAAAAAAAAAAAAAAAATTGATTTAAAAATGAAGTAGAAATTTTTGAAAACTTTTCTGTTTTTTTGATGTAAACAGGTAAAATTCCAGCAGGTCGTCTGTCTATACCGAATAAATGTCTCAATACGTCTTAATGGCTTAAAACACCAAACAATAACAATTGCCAAATGTCGTAAATAAATGTTGAACTTTAAAAACAAGTAAAAACATTATAAGGCCGGCCATTAGATAACATACATCACTTCGCTCTTTACAGTTATTCAATCGCTTTACAAATAATATACCATTTTTTACATATTATTTTCATACAAAGGCATAGTTGTCATGGAAGCCCTCACCAAGTGGCTTTAGATTTTCTTTCCATTGCTTGCTTGCTTTTCACCATAATCCCTATATAAGTTGGAGTCAAAGTTTCCATCATAGAAAACTGGAAACTAAAAGGCTTGCTTTTCATGATTACCTTTACATATGTTGGGATCTGCGAAATAGATCTATGTGATCCAAATTCCTTATTTTTAATTTTGCGAATTCGTTTGCTACCACCGAGACCAATTTTCATCGAGAAATATTAAAAATAAAAACACTTTTGGAAGAGCTTACTATTCAGAAGAAATCTTATAGCGGGTGAGACCCAAATAATACAACCATGTGGTTCATATTTGATTAACTTAATTTTTATGGAAAATTATTACCAGCGACACATTTTCATCATAAAACATTAAAAATTCCATCTTCTTGGCAAATGTTGGGAATGTTTATATGCGTTGGTATCCAAAAAATAGACCTACGTGGTCCAAATATCGTAAGGTTAATATCTATTTCAATTTACTATTGTGAACTAAGATTCACTATGAAATATTGAAAATTAGATCTTCTTAGCATATAAAGATTCAGTTTTCATGGCATGAGAAGAGGTACAAAAAATTGCCTCGGCTGAAACAAATTTTTCCTACCACATTACAATCTCAAAATACTATTACATAGCGACCTTTGTCGGCAAATTTTGAAAACTGCAAATTTTAACTGAAAATTGATAAGTAGTCGAAAAAGTGATCCGAATCGAAACATTTCCAATAGCGACTATTTTTGGGCCAAAACACGTCAGCAAACCAAATTTTACCAAAATATCTGAAAAATTGTCACACGTAACTTGAACCCAAGAATACATGAAAGGACATCAGACGTACAAGTTCAGATCGAATCAGCGAATGATTCGATCGGTATAATATCTTAAGCCCTTCTGGATGTTACGCACGTTACCTCAAACTTAATACACCTTGCGCCACATGTGGTGTAGAATATCTTCTTCTTCTTCTGACATTTAAAATGCATTTCTTCTAGGGATTATATAATTCAGGAAATATTGTCAAAAATGTTTCAGAACGAGCAAGTTATCGCTTCGAGTATAATAGCAATGTAGTCGGCCTTAAAGTCGAAGTGATTGAGCAAAATGTCTTTATAGGGGATTTGCTTAAAAGCCACCAATGGAAAAGTATTCGCCCTTATAAAAAGGGAGTCAGACAGAGAGTCTACTTCTTGAGACCTCCTGGGTAGCTACTGAAATTTCGACCTTAACCAATCGTATAAATGTCTTATTGTCAAAGCTTGCGAAAGTTAAGTGAGTCTGAGTCAACCGAAGCACTCCACCTGCTTGTTCACATTAGAAAATCGTTTGTTTCGCCTCCTAGCTCACAGTAGGCAGATAAAACTCATTGAATGGTTTGCTTCCTATTATCCTCAAACCCGATCCATTTTTATAATTGAAGTTAACCTGAGTATCTATGTTGGCGTTCTATATTCTTCCGGCGGATTACTTGTATTTTGGTAGGTTATCCATTGTCTAAATAGAAGTGTAAAAGTTTTGTTGTGATCTACTGAAGCTTTTGGCTAATTAGTTCACATTAGTAAGTAATGCGAAAGTACTAAAATGGCGGATGAAAGATGCTTACTTGTTCACTTTGCGCTAGTATGAATTCTCACCATACCCTACCGCTAATCTCAGCGACATTAGTGATCTTAAGAAGTTACCAAAGTGGAAGAGGGAACTTGCTTACCTACTCGCTTGCTTTAGTCGACCATAGTCGACGTTAGTAAATCTTAGGAAATTACAAGGAGTGGCAAATGAAGCTTGCTTACTTGTTCACTTTCCATTGGTTTGAATTTTCTCCATCATTCTCTATTCTAGTCGATATTAGTAAATATTAAGAAATTACGATGGGATGACAGATGAAGCTTGATTACTACTTGCCTGTTAATTTGAAAAATGAGCAAAATTTCGAATAAAACTTTGCATAAGATATTCTTCGTTTTTCTATGGATCTTATGTTTATTATCGTGATGAGATTATCAATTTAATACAAGAAATTCTTTTTTATATATGATATGTAATCATTCACATATCGTACTAATATCATGTCCTTATGAAATTTTTAAAAAGTCGATGCTTTCTCACTATTTTCAATGGCGAGTTCTTTTTAAAAATGATTAAATGAATACTCTTCTTGCTCAACCAATTGATTGATCGCGTATGGGTGAAAGTTATTGATGCTAAGGCTGTTAACCTTATATTGCTCTATTGATGAAGCTGGCGAAACAGGAACAACAGGTGAGACTGGACATAGATGAACGTTGCATTGATTATTACTATTAAGTATACATAGGGGATTATTCCACGAGTTGGGAAAGCCTTCATTTAAGTCAGTATATACTATTAAGAATTCCTCGCATCCATTACTATATTCTGCTTCGTAAACGTCACTAATTGGTAACGTAGATAATGTAGAAGTACCATTAGCAGGGAATCCGTTCGCGTATGCACATGGGAAATTTTGAAAATTATTCATTATTTGTGCCGGCTGATAATTCGCTGATGATAGTTGCCCTTGAAATGGTGGCATATTACCTGCCATCCCATTAACGGCGAGATTCGATGTACTGCATGGCGGATAACATACTGTATAGTTTTGCATTTATAAGCCGGGGGGGAAAAAAAAAGATTCAAATTTGAGAAGAATTTCTTGTGTTTTTGAAAACTTGATATATATACAAATATATATATATATATATATATATGTATATATATGGATATACACTCATTTATTTGCATATATATATATATGTAAATATTTTTACATATAAAAAAAAAGGAAAAAAAAACAAATTTAAATAAAATTTTTCAAATTTTTTTTTTTGAATTGAAAGCCAAATGTGAGAAAACCTAAGTTATGAATGAAACGAAAATTGTCGGAGAATTATTATAATATTTTTTTTTTTTGTCAAATTCAATTCTGACAACTAGCGTATAATACAGCTGTCGTCAGATAAGTACAAACATTGAATGGCTTAATTTAATTAAAAATATAATATTAATGCACAGAGATGTATACGAGTTCAAGCCCTCTATTGTTGGGCAACAATTAAGAAAGTTATACACGCCTTGCATTGAATCCTACATAGAAAGTTTTTTTATAAATTGAAATGATATTAGGGAGAAGAAGAGAGTTGACCCGTTTGCAGATAACACATTTATACATCTTTGATTATTGGGTGAAGTAATTGACTGTTTTAGGGATCCTGGGATTCTCAATTATTATGAGGATGTTTACAAGTAGATAATGTTTTAATCTTAGCAGTCAAAGTTGCAAGTTTCTTCTTGAAACCGACCGAAGAAGAAAATAATGCCCATCTTGAAAGCTGCCTTTGATATGCCGAATTTTAGATGAGAGAAAGGCAATCATAACCATCTTGTATCTCAGGTTTGATATGCTGAATTTTAAACGAAGAAGAGAAAGAAAATTATACGTATCTTGAAATCCATCTCTCATATGCTGAATTCGAAACGAAGACGAGCAAGTCACCTTAATGCGCTTACCTTTAATTTGCTGTATTCCGAAAGAAGAAAATAAAAAAAATTTTATTTACTTTGAAACCCAGCTTTGATATGTTAAATTTTAG